TGCGTCTATGTGGTTCACGTTTCCGTCCGAGGAGGTCAGTGGTGTTGCCTCCATTTTGGACTGATTTTCGGCTTCACGTGGCTTGGAGTTTGCCATTGGCTCGGCCTGAGTCCTCGCGGAAAGATTTTCGCAGTCTACGGGGGCTCGCGACAGTGCGTCCACCACCACGTTTGTGCTGCCTTTCCTGTACCGCACGACATAGTCGTATTTCTGCAGTAGCATGGCCCATCTCGCTAACCGTCCTGCGGGTTCGCGAAGTCTGGACAGCCATATTAGGCTCTGGTGATCTGTTTCAATCGTGAACGTGGTCCCGTCGACATAAATGTTGAAGCGTTTCAGGGCAAATACGATGGTCAAGCACTCTTGTTCACATGTGCTGTAGTTCACCTCAGCGGGTGTCAGCGAGCGGCTAGCAAAAGCTACCGGACCTAGCACTCCCTCGTGCTCTTGGAGCAGGACCGCTCCCAAGCCCAGTTTGCTCGCGTCCGTTTGGATCACGAAAGGCTTGTTCAAGTCGGGCAGCTTTAGTTCAGCTGTGTCCTCGAGCGCTTTAGAGGTGCAGCGAAATGCCGCCTCCAGCTCGGGACCCCAACTCCATCTCACGGTCTTTCACAGTAGTCGTGTTAGTGGCACTTGGAGTGATGCGCAGTTCGGGATGAATTGGCGGTAAAAGTTTACCATTCCCAGATAGCGACGGAGCGATTTTACGTCCGTCGGCGCCGGAAACTCCCGGATAGCCTTTAGCTTCTCGGGGTTTGGCGTGATGCGCCCGCAATCGAGCGTGAACCCAAGCAAGTTGATTCGGGTTTCGGCTATTTGGGCCTTTTCCGGGTGTAAAGTGATACCCGCGGCCTTTAGCCTGTCGAACACATCCTTCAGATCTCGTAGGTGATCTTCGAAGGTGTTGGAGTACACGACAACGTCGTCGAGATAGGCCATTGCATGTTTCCATTTGGCTTCTCCCAGTACTCTGTCAATCAAGCGTTGGAACGTCATTGGCGCTCCGCACAGACCAAAGGGCATTCTTTGTGAATTCGAAAAGCCCGCGGTGACACACAAGGGCTGTTTTTGCCTCGTCACCTGCCTCCATTTGAACTTGAAGGTAGCCTCGGCTAGCGTCAAGGGTTGTGAAATGCCGTGCGCTGCCGAGGTTGGAAAGGATCGAGTCAATGCTCGGTAGCGGATATGCGTCTTTCCGCGTTACGTCATTCAGACGGCGGTAGTCTACGCAGAGACGTGAGCTTCCGTCCTTTTTTGGGACCAGCACAACGGGAAATCCCCAGGGACTGTTTGACCGCCGGACAACTCCGGTGTCGATCATTTCGTCCAAGGCGACGTCGATGGCTTTTCGTTTAGCCAGACTGACGGGTCGTGCGTTTTGCCTCCGAGGAAGCGCATCGCCCGTGTCGATCCGGTGTCGCACTTCGTTTGTACACCCGGGACGCTCCGTGAACATGGCGTCATAGCGTCGCAATAATGTCGACAAACAGGCTTTTTCTTGCCCTGACCCGCAGCATGACTCAGTCAGTAGGGGGTGGGTGACCTCCGACGCTACGGCGCTTGTTTGCAACCGCGTCGGGGTACCTGTTGAGGGGTTGATACCCGGTTTTTGTGATTCTGATGCCTTGTTTTGGCAGCTGCTGTTTGCCCCATTAACCAGTGTTTTTTCTGGCGTTGGGGGTTCGCAGAAGGGTTTCAGAGGTGCGAATGTGCCCTCTCGGTAGCCACCGCTACTCACGTCGATCACGATCCCTGTTTTGACGAGAAAAATTCTGCCCAAGATGATCGGAACGGAAAGACTGGGGAGATGAACGAAGCGTTGCCGTCTTACTCGATTCTCCCATCTCGCAACCAACCGCACAGTACCGCTTGAATGGGCGGTACCGCACGCGAGTCGAAAGGCTGTGTTGCCCTCCCTCATATGCACTGAGTTTTGCTGGATGTGGGTCACCACTTCGTCGCCAAAAAGCGAGGCTCTGGCTCCTGTGTCCAGCAGTGCCTTGAACGTCCGACCGACAATCGTCAGGGCTATGAATGGCGCTAGCGTGCCGGTCGGAAAGCCTATTCTGTAGGCTGTAGGCAAAATAGTCTCTTGCTCCGTGCCGCTTTGAGCCACGGGGTTGGTTATCGGCGGCTTTGCTCGTTTCCCGACTGTTGGGGACCGGGGTTCTGCCGTTCTGGGCATTGTCGAACCAGGTGGTTGGCGCTATTACAGCGAAAGCAACGTTGTTGCGGGACTTTTCTTAAGTCCTGTCGTGCGCTTTGATGTGCGCCGCGCCTTTCGTCCTGTGTGTTTGGACGCTTTGGCCGCGTTTCCTCCCGTGGCGTCGGTAACTCTGTGGTCCGATCTCGCCTGTTGAACAGCGGCGCAGTCTCTGCTGCCCGCCGTTCATAGGAGTACGGGTCGAGCGCACGATCTGATATGTCGTACGTGTTTCGAATTCGCTCGTCTGCGTAGTGGGCGGCCTCTTGCCTCCTATTTCGGGACGCCGCGTCACCGTTCCACGCGCAGCGGGGTCGAGTGCCGCTGATGCTGGGGGTGGGGGACGATACGCTCGTGCGGCAAGAATGTCTCCTTGAATCCGCCGAGCCTCCGAGGCCAGTTCGTTCAAGTCGCGAAAGCCACTGCCTCGGAGATACGCCGCGAAAGACGGGTGCGTTTGTCGAATGACTCGCTCTACCCGCTCTGCATTGGGCGCTGAGGGTTCTGCTAGCTCAAAGAGCTCTTGCATCGCCCTAACGAACTCCAACAGTGACTCGTCTGAGTGTTGGGTCCGTTGTTCGAGCTCTCTCCTCATCCTGCGTTCGTAGTCTGCAGGGAGGAATTCCTGGCGAAATGCCTTTCGGAACTGCTCGATCGACGACAGCTGGCTTCCGGTTAGACGGAGCCACCGCGCCGCTTGGTCCACCAACAAGATTGGCAAGACGCGTTCTAGTATCTCGTGGTCCGAGATTCCCATGGCCTGTTGATACTTTTTCAGGTTTTCGAGGAAGTCTGTCGCACTCACTCGGTCTCTGTACCCTCGGTATGTCGGGATAAGGATTCTGACCGGTGGCCGTGTCGGCGGCGGGGGCCTAACTGCTGTTTGCAGTGCGCCCGTCAGGCTTTCGATCACCGGAGCTGCGTTTTCTAGCAGGGAGTGATATCCGCCTAGTGGTTTGTTCTCTGTGGTGAGAATCGCTCTCCGCATGTGCGGCTGGCGGGTTGTTCCCTCTGTATGGGCCCGCCAAGTGGTTTGTTGCGCCTGTAGCAGCTGTTCTGTGCTGCGGCTCGTAAACGGCGTCAGTGTTATCTCCGCGCGGAGAAGCTGACGGCCAGTCTGAGGTTAAGAGATCGAAGCTGTAAGAGGCTGCATTTGCCTGCTGTTGCGTCATTGTCTCTTGTCTCGTCGAACCCGTGTTGACTTCGAAAGTCGCGGGTGGGCTTAGCTCAGCGATGAAGGCTGGCGCGCTCCGAGAAGGAGTGCCACGGTTGCATTCCGGGCATTGTGAGTCATACCCGTTAGGGAAGCTCGGCTGAAAGGACACTTGCTCATTGTGTCCGTGCGTGGCTGGCGTGGCCACAAAGCCGTTGAGTGGCATCGGGTTTTGGACATTCGCCTTTCCCTCTGTCACGAAGTTCTTGGCCGGAAATTGGCCTGGTTCGCTGTCATTGCGAGAGTGCTGCTTTGTTTGCAGTCGCCGGACAGGCCGCACGTTGGGGCGCCAGATGTGAGTTTCCCCTTTTATGGGGGTTACCACTTAGAAACACAGAAGGTTCCTTGGATCCTGATAAAGACGTGTTTGACTTAGATGCCACACGCTTGCCCGAAGGCCAACAATGTTGGAGATGACGGCGCTGTCTCTTTGGACAGGATCGCCAGTCGGACTCCGCGCTGCCGCTATTGACAGTATTACGGAGGGGGAGGATCAGATAAGGATATGAAAGCTCCGTCGAGCAGAGCCTCCCCCACCGAGAGTCACGCCCGTTGGATTAGGGCCGTCTTATATAGCCTGCGGGAATGGACGCGCCCGGGGTGGGTCGGATGTAGGTGGGTCCCCGGAGGGGCGGACGCGTCCAAGTCATGATCCCGAGGGGTGTGCCTTAGGCAAATCACCCGAGAAGGACGAGGGAAAGCCGTCCACCAGGGAATACGGCTTCGCCCTCGCATCCGGGACGCGCCCCCACGTGGCGACGTCCCACGGCCTGCCTGAGCTAGGCCTAGATAAAGTTGCGGGGAACACGTGGTTCCCACAGTGTCTAAGTTGAAAACATAAAAATCGACTGCAGCAGACCCCAGAGCATGGCAGAGAAATAAGAATCAGTAAGTCTTTTCCGGCTTTTTGTTTTTGGTCGATACTTACCGCCGTATTCTTAAACGCTACTCGACTTGAAACTCGACTCGAAACTCGACTTGAGGGTGGTTTTGCGATTCATAAACAGATCTCCACTCGAAACTCCACTCGACTCCAAAATCTCCACTCGAAACTCCAAAATTTACTCGAGATCTCGAGTCTGCGCCGGAGCTACCTTGAACGGCCACTCGAGCCACTCGTGCGTTCAGTGTCATGGCGGCCGACGCATCGTTCGCCGACTTCGTCGACTTCTTGTTGAGAACGGACGAAGTCCTTCACGACAGCCGAGACCCCGACCAGGACGTCGATGTGCCGAGACGGCGTTGCCGGGACCGGCTCAACGCGCTGGAGCATTTCAACGACTGGGAGTTTCTGGTGCGATATCGTTCTACGAAATCGACAGTCGTAAGCCTTCTCCAGTGCCTGCCGCTGGAAGCAAACGAGAGCAGTCGCGGCCTGCCACTGTCCCTGATGCTCCAGCTCCTCGTAGCGCTGAGATTTTATGGCGCCGGGACCTTCCAAGTAGTTACGGGCGACCTCGTAAACGTGTCGCAGCCGACGGTGTGCCGCGTAATCGAGCGTGTCTCCCGAGTCCTCGCCGAGACTCTCTTCCCCTACCTCGTGGATTTCCCGGAGGGCGACTGCGACGAGGTCATGCGGGATTTCTACAACATCGGGAAGTTCCCCAGAGTGACTGGGTGCATCGACCGCACCCACGTCAAAATAAAGGGACCTGGCGGTCCCAATGGGGAAGTCTTCAGGAAGAGGAAGGGGTTCTTCTCCCTCAACGTGCAGGTAAGTTCACTTCTGTCTGTGCTGTTAGCGACAGCGAAGTAAGTTGAAAACAACGGCAAGTCAAGACCCGGTGTGGCACGTGAAAGCTCGGCGATATTGTGACTGATATAGACTAGAACTTGTAGAGAGATCTGCACTCTGTGACAGTGCAGAGTGGTGGTGGGCCAGCTAGAGAGGGTTCAAAACCAAGAATTATGTATTGTGTGTTTGGAAACATACATTTGATTGGGCGCCGAGATGGCTTTTGTTATTTTATAGCAAACGCTCATGTTTTATAGCATTTTCCCCTTGAATTATACTTTTCGAAGAAAAGTATAATTGCTCGAAGAAAAGTATAAAGTGTTCAAATTCTCTTCTACTATACCGCGTGAAAAACCTAGGAATTAAGCCACATTCAAGCTTACGTCACATAAAACTGCGAGAACTCAAATGCTAGTTAATTTCCAAAGCTTCAGATGCACTTTGTCAAAAAATATACTAATCATAGTAGAAATATCAGCTTGAGCACTTGTGTTCATATCATGGCAACCTGCTCATCCCTGTACTGCTCCTTCCTATCCACAGGCCATCACAGGACCCCAGCGGCAGTTTTTTGACCTTGTTGCTGGGTGGCCAGGCTCCTTGCATGACAGCAGGATATTCGACAACAGTCGTGCAAGGGTCCTGTACGAGAATCAGCTTATCCATGGGCTGCTGCTCGGAGACGCAGGCTATGCCTGCATGTCATTTCTTCTGACGCCCCTGACCAGCCCAGGTGTAGCCAACAGCCCAAAGGGCAGGTATGTACTAGTTTGTTGGAAGAAATAATGGCATGAAATTCAGAACAGCTAACAAGAAGTGATACTGTAGCCACTGTGTTCCTATTGGTTACTATTAGTTCTGCAAATCTTTGTCACAGCTAGATTCATGACCTTTGGGCCTGTATGGCAAAAAAAGCTGGCATTATTCACTTCCTGTGGACAAATGTTTTGTTTCAAAAGTATGTAGCATACAACATTTTAGTTCTATTTTTATTTTCCTCGAGAATATTTGTTGTTCTTCCTCTTGACAGTTAGTCGGTGTCAATGGTTGCTTTTTGTCACTAGAATTGGACTAGGGCCAAGAACTTGAATTAAGACGGTAATGTAGGAAACACCAGCCAAAACCACTGTATGCAGAACAGTAGCCTCTGGTAAGCAATAGAAAATGCCGAAAATGCAGCTAGCATGGGTGGGCCGCACTGTACAGGTTACTGAACCATACTGATGGTTGCAGCAGTGGCGATTTTTACACCTGAAGACCTTTATCTTGCGACGTTGCTTCCATTACCAATGCTGCGCACCATATAGGTACCAAGCAGCTCACCTAAAAACAAGGAACTCGGTCGAACGGGCATTTGGAGTGTTCAAGCGACGCTTCCCATGCCTGGACATGCGGCTGCAGTACAAGGCGGAACGGTCAGCCTTCATCATCACCGCCTGTGCTGCACTGCACAACCTGGCCCTGCTGCGAAAAGAGCCATGCCCACCTGCTCTACCCTCTCCACCAGTACCCCGATGCCGGAGGCGGCTGCGTCCTCATGTACTGCCATCACCTCCAGACCCTGTCGACACAATCAACGGCTCGCTGAAACGCACACAGATTATCGCACTGTGTTTCCAATAGGGATATTCAACCAGTAGCACATGTTTATAGTCAATGACAGGTCAAGGATAGTGTACAAGCTGGAGAGGAGGAAGCAGACAGAAGCTTGAGGTGGAGAGGAGAAACCTCCTCTCCACTTAAAGCTTCCGTCTTACTTTTCATCTCCAGCTTGTACTCTCTTCTTAACCCGTCACTGACTCGTGAAAATACTCGGACACGAATTCAGTAGTAAGCTCTCGAATAAATTGATTTTTAAATCAAATTCCGGGTATTCGGTCACTCTAACATATTCTGGGAAAGACTTGTGGCCAGCACAGAGCTAACAAAAGACCTACCCTTCCCTTTAATTGTAGTGTGCTGTTTCATTGAACTTCCGAATATGCAAAACACATTAGGTTCTATCGTTTCACTTCAATATAGCGCACATAAAATAAATAAGTAAATCCTCGGAATGCTTTTAAACTGAAAGAACCCAAATTTAATTGTGATTTCCACACTCTTGTAGCTTGCAGCGCAGGGCTGCCAGCTGCTCCACCTTTATCTCTCTCTCCAGCTGGAGCAGCTGGAACTCTGCCCGTCCGCGTCGTCGCTGCTCAAAAAGCTTGTTGCGGAGTATGCGCATTTGCATTAAATGTTGCGCCTCCTTCCGCCGATCTTCCCTCTCGAGGATGTCTACACGGGCCTCCTTTTCAGGAGCCATGATCCGCTCCAGTGCTGCGATGAGGTTTCCAATTCTTCTGGATGCCCCGCTTGGCAGCTCAGCACGGGGCCAGGTAATGCTCCTTGCCGGCGGAGTCGCACAAGCAGCTCCAACGCTGCTGTCTTGGAGAGGTGAGGTGGACGGCTCAGGAGCATCTGGGCATGCAGAACACATTGGCACTGTGAGTGCTAGGGGAAGAGCAAGTACACAGGAGAAGAGGCCCAACAGCCACATGGGCCTTTCGTAGAAATGTTCAAAGCTAGGCGTTGGCAAATTACAGTCAAACCTCGTTAAATCGAACAGTGCGAGGACCGTGAAATAGTTCGATATAATCAAAATTCGATATACAAAGTCACACACAAAAAGAGCGTCAAAGTACAGCGCGATTTAATTAGTAAAAGGCTAACGGCAAAAAATGACTATACTTTGTTTCAGCTTCCGTCCGAGCGCAGCCAAAGGCTGACGGGCGCTTCGCAACTTCGAGATGAGCATTCCTATGCATCGCAAAGTAGTCCGCAAAAGTAATTCCTTTTAAACAACTGTTTTGTGCGTAAACGCTGCACAATATTCCAGATGTGTGCTGCTGAGAATGATTTGCAACTAAAGGAATTAAATATCTGCACCCGTATTCACCAGGCGCGAGTAGTGCCTGTTTAACCACTGACTAGCGACGTCATCGACTAAAATGATCACGTGGCAAGCGATAGTCGCCGCTAAGTGAGCGCTTGGTATTCACCGGTCGTGTTTAGGGCCTAGTCGCCCCGTGCGACTAAGGAGTCGACTAACAAATCTTAGTCATGGGGTAGGACTAGTTTGGCCGGTGTTTAGCGGGCGACTAGCGGCTTAGCGCCATGGCCGACTCGTATCACCGCTGACCGCCAGCGCTATAACGAAGCACTTACTGTCTCGGAACGCTGGGGGACATATCTAGAAAGAATCGGAGGAGTAAATATTGACTAAATAGCCATGTTCAACGGCCAGAGACATTGCTAAAGCGATCTCGGCAGGGCGGTGGACGGCGCGAAGAAACGCATTTACGGGCGCTTCCATATTCGTTTATGTCGCTGGCAATGCGGCTTCCGTGTTTCTCCCTGGCGTTGTTTTGAAATTTTTCGTTGTAAAACTCTGTCTAAGACAATATGTCTCTCATTGTAACTTTTTTTTCCTGATAAACATTTAAATATTAGTTTTTATAGGATAAAATACCCATTTACGCAGCGGCGTTGAAGTTCGCGTGCCCGTGACCTATCTTTTTGTGTCACTTCCGCTTCTTAGTTCTGACTAGATAGTCACCCGCTCGCTTCGCGCTCGTGAATACCGCAGAACATAATCGCTCGTTAGTCGCGGATTTCTCGTTTAGCTCGCAACTACTTAGTCGTGCTACTAACCTTAAAACGCCGCTAGTTAGCCGCGCCTGGTAAATACGGGTGCTGAAGTTTAAGTTTTTATTAATATATGTAGATACATGTGGTTTGGTGAAAAAACGTACGTCCGCTGGCAACACGGCTGCAGCGCTCGGTTGTGATTTCGTTCCCGTAATGGCCGAATCATGTGCTTCGCTGCTTGTTCGTTGCTTTCCTCACCGAGTCGCTTCAAAACGTCCTTTCGCAAAGGCATGTCTGGGCGTCAGGCGCGAGAGGTCGTGATGAATGTCTACTTTTCAATTCTGCAGGAGACTCCGGCCGCGTCGTACTGCAAATGCGTTGTAAACAAGAAAAGCGTCCGGGCCACTACAATTTCCTGATACACGGTAATACAATATTTGTCCAACTGCTGCATGGGCACTCTGTTCAGTTTTAACTTTGTGCTTTGTCACGGCCAGCTTAAAGAATTCAGGGCGTCACCTGTTATGTTCATGCTTCATGATTAATTCTTTGACATTCTTATGGCTAATGATGCTATCATATTGGGTATAGTGTGACAATAAGAGGCTTGGCATTCATTATGGCTCACACTCCTTAAGTTACCAGTGACTATAGTGCCTGCGGGAAGGGAGAACATACAAGGAGGGACGCAAAAGCAACCAGAATAAATTTATGGAGGGCGACCGTTTGTAGTACCAGCTTCCGCCGCTAGCAGTGCTTAGCGGCTTCCCTTCCGCCCTTTTGCAGATGGCATTCACTACAGTGAGGCCACGGGTTACAGGGTGGGGGATAGGATGGGCCGCACGGTGACTGCTTTTTTGGGGGGACCGAGGGCCCTGGGGGCACTGAAGTAACTGAAAACCCAACAAAGTCAGGAGAGGCACCCAGGGTTAAAAAGAGGAGAAAACGTAAGAACAGGTATAAAAAATCAGCACAATCAGACATTGGATATATTAACATGCAGGGTGGTAGAAATAGGTTAAAATGGGAAGAGGTAGAGGAGCAACTAAGAAAGGAGGATTTAATGGTGTATGGGTTTGTGGAAACACATCTCAGAGACATGGAGCAGCCACCTTGCAACCCTGACTATGTGTGGGAAGAATGCAACAGAATGGAGGGAACGAGGAAGGGAGGTGGAATTGGAGCATTCATTAAGAAGAATATGAACTTTCAAAGGATCGGAAAGGAGTGCGCCGAACATTTGTGGCTGAAAGGAAAAGTCGCTGGGGAATCAACAGTCCTTGGAGTGGTTTACTTATGGACAGGGACAGGTGCTAAAGAGGAAAACAGAAAAATGATTGATTGCATATCAAGAGACATTAGTGAACTAGGGGAAGGCTCCGAAATAATTATTATGGGAGACATGAATGCCCATATTGAGGGTCTGGATGGGTATACGGACTCAACTGGAAGCATATTACTAGAACTGGTGGAAAAACATGACTTAGTTTTATGTAATACCAGTCAGAAGTGTGACGGGCACATAACTTGGGAAACTGGCAATCTGCATTCAACTATAGATTACGTACTCATGTCACACAAAATATATGGTAAGTTACAAGTAATGAAAATAGATGAAGAAGGTTCCAAAAGTCTTGGTAGTGATCACAAACGTATTAAGCTGAATTTTGCCAGAGAAGTAAATGCTGAAACTAGACAACATAATTCAAAGCAAACTTTCTGCAGCGACAAAGAGTTGGAAATAGTTGTTGAAAGAATAGAGGCAGCAGTTTCAGGGCAACGGCATACAGATTGGACCTATGAGAGCCTAACTAGGCTTTTTTCTCTAGAACTAGACAAAGTTAAGAGTAAACGAAAGGGGAAGCAAGGACATAGACCAAAAAGTTGGTGGGACAAAGAAGTGAAGCAAGCGATACAAAAACGTCAGGAAGCCTCTAGAGAACACAGGTATTCCAAGCGTAGTGGGGAGTCCGAAACGGAAGTAAAAAGAAAATGGGACAATTTTGTAACATGTCGCCGAGAGGCATCCAGTTTGATCAATGCGAAAATTCAGAGAAAGGGTGAGGAATGGATGAGTAATGTAAGTAAGAAAGATAGAAATGCTGCCAAGAAGTTTGGGAGCACTTGAACTCACTCGGTGAAACAACGCAAGCTAGACAGAGGTTTATACTCTCGCATCAGGGAGATCAATTAGAGGGAGATGATGCGATACAATATATAGGAGCAGTGATGGAGGAGAAATTTCGGGAACGGGTACATGTGGAAGATAGGAGAACCGAAGGAAGTAGCAGTCCAGTTTGTGACATCGCGGATTTTGGACAAAGAGAATGGGAAAAGGCGGAACGAAGAGTCCCTAGTGGCACGTCGACAGGCACAGATGGTATCCCTATCAAGCTGGTGAAGAATTTGGGTCCTAAATCTAAGGCAAAACTAAGGGAGGTAGTGAGTACCATGATAACAAAAGGAAATATTCCAGATGAATGGAGGCTTAGTAGGATGAGTATGATATATAAGGGAAAGGGAGATAAGTCTGATATTAGGAATTATCGTCCTATAACCGTGACACCGGTTATTTACAGGTTGGTAATGCAGATTATAAAGAACAGACTGGAGGAATGGGTAGATTGCGAGGGCATACTGGGCGAGTTACAGAACGGGTTTCGAAAACAAAGAAGGTTGGAGGACAACTTATTTTCTCTAACACAGTGTATAGAAATAGCGCAAAAAGAAAACAGACAGCTCTGGCTGGCATTTCTGGATATCAAGGGTGCCTATGACAATGTGAACCAAAGAAACCTGTGGGACATAATGGAGAACTTAAACCTAGATGAAGGACTAACAGCACTATTAAGGAACATTTACAAAGATAACAAGGTGATTATAACATGGGAAGGAAAGGCGACAGGGAAAATAGAGATAAGACGAGGCCTTAGGCAGGGGTGCCCGTTATCGCCTTTGCTGTTTATGTTGTATCTGAGAGGATTGGAGGATAGACTAGAGAAGAGTGGGCTTGGGTTCAACCTTTCTTACAGTAAGCTAGGCCAAAAAATTCAGCAATCCTTACCGGGATTGATGTATGCGGACGATATTGTACTAATGGATAACAACAGGACAGAGTTGCAGGAATTAATGAGCATCTGTGGTAGGGAAGGAGAGGAATTAGGTTTAGAATTCAGTAGCGAAAAATCGGCAGTC